TTCAGCTCAACTGCCTGCTTCACACCAACCTTCAGCTGGAGAGGAGTGAGGACAAGGTCAGCGGGTGGAGAAGGATGGGGTCAGGCAGCTCAGTGGGGGCTCAGTGGGAAGTGAGTGCACCAGTGAGGAATGCCTTGACACCATGCAGGCCTGAGAGCTAGTGGGCTGCAGGCAGGTGCGAGAGGGCACGTCCGCCTCAGTGGGCAGCAAAGAGTGACCATGCAAGAGTATGGCTTTTTCCCTGCTGTGCCATGAGCATCCCCACCTCCTGCATGCGGAAGTTGTACTCCAGGGAGTACTGCAGTTTTCCTCGCCGCTTCTGCTCTACTGCCTGCTCCAGGTCCTCCATCTCGGGCTGCACCTGTGGCAGAGAGAAACACTCAGCCATGTCCCTGCCATGCCGTGCTCCCACCATGCCTGGGGCCGGGCAGTGCAGCAGCAAACACCTCAGGGGGAGGGAGGGAGGGGAGACTGAAGGGAAGGCAGCACGCACAAGGTTGATCGTCGTGGGGTTGCTGACGGCGCACAAGCCAATTCTCTCCTTCTTCTTGGGCTTCTTCTTGGTACAGCAGCACTTGATGATGCAGATGAGGAAGAGGAGGAGGAGAATGGCCCCTGCCACAGCCACGGTGATGAGAGCCCATTTGGGTACTGGTGCGATGTTCAGGGAGTGGAGTTGGATAGAAGAGTTAAAACCAAACAAAACATACAGAGTACATTTAAACCTCTTCGTGGTCCTTCAACATTAAGGAGTTGTACTTTCAAAATTGCCCCTAGAATCCTGGACAGGCCCCATGCAGGGAGACTGAGACTGAAAACCATTCCCCAAATGGGTAGCAAAGGTACCCTCTGCTCCTGAGGCAGTGTGGTACTACTCTGCAGTAATACCTCCCTGATGGAGCCCACTAGAAAATGGAATTTGAAGGGAGGGTGAAGGGAATACCCAGCCTCAGAGTCCAGCAGCCCCAGCAGGTAATGCTGCCTGGGAGAGGAGGGCAAGAGACGCTGTACTCACATGGAATCCAGCTAAGCCAGCTGTCCAGGGAACCTGGCCAAGCTGTGGTGGTGATGCTGGTGTGTGGGGAGGCTGTAGTCCTGCCCTTCCTGGCTGCCACTGCCATGGCTAATCTGGGGTGACCTGGGAACACAGGCAAAATTAGCAGGGTGGGGATTTCCTCTCTGGCAGCACGTGTGCTGCCCGTAGCCCAGGGCTCTAATGAGAACAAACACAATTAAAATATAGAGCTCAGGGTAAGCGATTAGAGCTTGGGCACATTGACAATGAGATGTGAAATGGAGCGGGAGGGAGCTGCTGGCAGGGAGGGCTCTGTGCCAGCCGGCCCCTCCCATGCAGCCTTCTCCTTCATATCCTTGCAAGTCTGCCTGCTGAAAACGGAGAAATTGGGGCTCCAGGGCGTTTTGAGAAGAGGAATCACTTGGCTGCAGGGGACAAAAGCCAAGAGGTGTTTTGTGCTGGCTCCTCCCCGGCCAGGCAGAGTGAGCTGAAGGGTTTCATCAGCTCCAGGAGAGCCCCATCATCAGCTAACATCCCTTTTTGGCTATTTTCCCTAAGGTAAGGTTGGCTCCTGGGCTTGCAGGAGCCGGTGGCAGTGATGTCACCGGGCTGGGGCCACATCAGCTCGGAAACTTTCCGTGAGCTCGGCTTGTGCACATGGCAACGCTGACACAGCCTCAGGGAAGGCTTCAAATTTAAAGCAGGATGGTTTTACAGCATTGCTTTCCCCATGGCAGAGCTCTTATTCTAGCGTGAACACTTCCTCATAACCAAATTCCTTTCACGTCAGCGGGACAGGTGTGCCCAGAGCGGTGCTGCGCGGTGAGCAGCGGGTCTGCAGCCACCACGGCACAGGTGGCACCCAGCCCTGGTGCCCAGGCTGGCAGCTCTGTGCCTGGGGCTGCCCAGCCTCCTGCCCGGCCTGGGTCCCTGCTCAAGCAGCCAACTCCACCTCGCTCTGCCCATCCCAAGGTGCTCCTTGCATGGGGATCTTCCCTGGGAGCAGAGAACCACATCTGCAGTTCCCTTCGCTGAGCCTGCAAAGCCAGCAAGCACCCTTTCTTTTTCCAGCAGTGTGCTTTGCTGCATGTGGGTATGGGGCTGGACAGACGTGGGAATTGCTGTCACCCCTGTGCTGTCATTGCTGGGACAATGAGGAGCAGGTTAAATGACTCGTCCAGGGCCACCAGGGACTTCTGTGTCACTGGACACCCGCAGCATCGCTCAGGTATTTCAGAGGCACCAGGCTGCAGCTTTGGAGTGAAGAGTGGACAGGACAGCACAGGCAAGCAGGCATCCACCCAGCACACAATTAAGAGTGCCAGTACATTCTGCCTGCCACAGGCTGTGTCACATTAGTCTAACACTGACCCTGGTTTAAAAAAACCTTTATCCCAACCCCGAAGAATGAACTGAGCCACCACTTTGGGAACAATGGGGACAGCCCTGCTGCGGTCTGGCACAGGAGGCAAAGTCTCAGTGGGCAGTCTGCTGGGAGCATCGAGCATCCATGTTCCTGGAAAAGGGGCTGGAGGAACCCTGGCTCTCGCTCCCACCCTGAGCTGACGGGGTTCCCAAATCCAGACTTACCCACAGGTGTCCTTCCCAGCGTCAGCCGGCCCTCCCTGCTGCCCAGGCTCCAGTCAAGCCAGCGCGAGTGGCAGGGACATGCTATGGGTGAGATGGGAGCCCAGCGGGCACGCAGCTGAGGGTGCAGAAGGGATGGTGGCTGCACTGCACAGCCCAAACAGGAAAGTCTGCTTTGCCAGCTCAGGAGCCAGGTGGCCCCAGCAGCTCCGCCGGCCCCACCTCGCCGCTGACCCAAGCAGTGTTCATGCAGGCGAAAAGCCAGCGGGGAACTCCCTGCTGGACCAGGAAGCAAAACCTGCCCTCCTGCCTGCCAGAAGCTGGAGGGCATTGCTGTTCCACTTCAGGCACTGGGAAATTCACTTCTCCAAGTTATCCCTGCAGCGATGCTGGGCTGGACTGTGTGGCTGCAGGCACAGCACAAGGGAATGGACTCTTTCAAGGGGATGGGTGCATGACTGCATCCATCCCTGGTGATCTCCGCCCTTGGGAAGCCCAGCTCCTTGGCCCTCAGGGCATACACTGTGTGAGGGCCTGCAAAACGTGTGTGTGGATGAACAGGAATGCTCTGCTGCAACAAGGCAGGAAGGACAGACAGGACAAGGGGATACTGCTTGGGTGGTTTCATCCTCCAGCGCCAACAGAAGCACCAGGCACACAGCCAGGAGCAATTTCACAGGCTTCCATTGCATTAAATTTATGCTTGTAGACTTCTTCCCTTGCTGCCAATTCAGTAAAGTTTGCCCAAAACCTGCCTTATTGCCACGTAAATTTGGGGTGGTCTCAGAAGCAGGGAGCCATACTGCAAAACTGTCAGTGTCTAGTGGCTGAGGTAGTGATGGGAGACGCCCCAGAAACCAGACCTGTCCCAGCTCTGCCCCACCACCCTGACTCACTAGTCCTTCCAGATTTTCACATGGCCACCAAGGCATTGCCACAGCGGGTGCCTAGCCACAGGAGAGGGGCTAGGGCTGCCCTTTAGCCATCCAAAAAATAGCCACACTCACAAGGGCCTTGCACTCATGCTGCTCAGGAAAGCACCACCTCCAGGAGCAGGAGATGCAGGAATGATGCTGCAGGAATGATGCTGCAGCAAACCTCTGGGAGAACTTTTTGCTCTAAACTGGAAGTCCCAAGGGATGCACAAGAGAAATGCAATATGGGGATGGGGGAATAGGGAATATTAAATCTTCCAGGGAAAGGGGGCCTGCATATGCACACTAAAAGCTGAGCATGTAAGTAGCCTTTTCAACAGGTGGCTTGCTAGAAACAGCTAAAAGAGAAGAGATTCAGATCCTAGGGAGAAATTCTTTACTCAGAGGGTAATGAGGCACTGGAACACGTTGCCCAAAGAAGTTGGGCCTCATCCCTGGTAGAGTTGAAGGCCAGGTTGGATGGGACTCTGAGCAAGCTGATCTGGTGCGTGGCATCGCTGCCCTGGTGGAAGGGGTTGAAATTAGATGATCCTTAGGACCCTTCCAACCAAAATCATTCTATGATTCTATGACCTCAGTGAGACCAAGCTGCACAGCACCCTGGTGCCTTCCCACATTTTGGGAGGAGATTTGGTGATGCTGGTGATAGCCTGATGTCATGCAGGTGGACAACTGTTCAGCCTTCGTGCATGTGAATTTGGTCTCCAAGGCTGGGCAGGCTGCAGCAGTGGACCTTGTTTCAGCAGTGGGGCAAGGGAAAAGCTGCAGGATGGTCCTGGGTCCCTGAGCCCCTCTCCCCTCACCCTCTCCCCCCCCCACATCCCTCACAGTCACAGTCTTGGACAGAAAAAAGGTGTTGAACAATCCTGGTACTATCAGCCCCACAAGGCTGGGTGCCACACAGCCTACCCAGAAAAGTAAAATCCTAACCCCAAAATCAACCCTGCTGAGGACAGCAAGTGACACATGGCTTTCAGAAAAAAGGGGGAAAGAGACCCAAAACCATTACAGTAAAATGGCAAACGTGCTGCATTCAGCCACGCTCTGCACCTGCCTTTGCTCCCTGCATCCCTGCATCCGTCCCGAGTCACTCTGGACAGGTACCTCTAATTTTTTCGGTCAAAAATACAACATTCAGGGGCTGGGAAATGAGAAGACTGGAGGCACGCTATAAACACTCCAGCTGCAGAAGTAAGACATCACGGCTTGCGGACAGCGATCAGCCACTGAGCACAAGCGCCGAGAGGGCTGCGGAGGCAGGAACAGCGCCGAGTGCCCTGCCCAGGGTGACCGCAGCCGTGTCCGAAGCCAGGCCCCGGTGACCGCGATCCTGTGCAATGCCAGCCGGGAAATGCAGTCTGGCCGGGCAGGACGCCAACCCGCTGGCTGCCTACAAATCCCAGCGCGCCGGGGAGCGGAGCTGCGCCCATCCCGGCTGCTGCCCGCTTCCTGCAGCGCGCCGGGGGAAATATAAACAGCGGGCACAGGCACGGCCGGGATGCTGCCGCGGGACGGGCCGGGCCGGCCGGGAGCAGAGGCAGCGCTCGGGGTGAGTGAGTGAGCGAGTGAGTGAGCGAGTGAGTGAGCGCTTTTCTCTCCGGCAGAACCCTGTCTGTGTGCAGGGGGTAACACCTGCTCCCCGCTAGGCAGCCTGGGAGGGGACCAGCAGCACGCCCTGGAATGCTTTCCTGGGGTCTGGCAGCGAGACGTGTGCCTGTGCGGCTCCGGATGTCTGCGTGCGAACTGCGCTGCGGGCTGTTGGGGCAGGGAGATGGAAAGGAGAAGCCGGGCTTGATTTGCAGTGCTTGGAAGAGCGAAGCAGAAATTAGAGGTGGATTCTCCCGCCAGGAAGGGCTGCTCAGCTCCGTTACCCCTTTGCATTTAATTTTGACTTTCAGAGAATACTTGGCTGGGATTATGTCAGAGGAAAGCTCCTGCCTGCGCTGGGCTGGTGTTTGCCACCCTCTCTGGGAGGAGACCCCTTCCCGGCATGGGGCAGGGGGTGGAGGAAGCAGAGGGATGCTCAGCATCTCCTGGCTTTCCAGGCAGCCCTGGCTGGGGGAGTAGCCCTGCTGCAGGGCTTTCTGCTCCTCGGGCAGTCGGGGAGTGCACATGGAAGCTCTGAGCCCCCCATGGCAAGGCTGTGGCTCTCACGGCTGGCATCAGCCAAGTGTGGCACTTACTGGCCCAGGCAACATTTTGCAGTCCCTGAACAATAAACATTAATTAAATAAAACTGGGGCACAAGACAGGTCTCTGTGGATACCCTGACTTGTCCTTTACACTGCATGTTGGCTTTACCCTTTGCTTGCCCAGCCCCCCAGTACAGTAATCAGGTAGGGCCTGACTGGCTCACAGGGCTGTGGAGGGGCAGACCAACCCCATCGCAGGAGTCTCAGCCTTTATCCAAGCCCTCACCACACACTTCTACTTACTCTGGCCTTTTACAGCTGCAAATGAGCTGCTGATGCAGTGAACTCCTTCATTTGTAGATACAAATTCACCATTCAAGCAAAAGTGGCAAAAAAGACAAGGATGTGAACTAGAAACCTACCTATGAGATCTAACCCACTTGGGCTTTTAAAGACAGCCTTATTTTGCTTGGAAAAGAGCTCAAAAACATCTTTCAGCAATTCCACACAGAGAAAAATACTCTTTGAGAAAAACAGAAGTAAAAATAAAGCAGTGATCTGTGTTTGAAAAGCCACTTTCCCATCACATTTAGTTGGAACTATTAGAACAGTTTTTCTCGGGGCAAAGCTGCTGTCAGCAGAAACAGGTTCATTTGAGCTGCTGTATTTGGTGTGTAGGATGTTTCCTGTCTCCTTTCCACTCTTCCCCCTCTCAAGAATGATTATAGATTGGCTACATTATAATCTTCCAGTTTAATTTTGTATTTTCTCTTAAAGGCTGAGAGTTGAAGATGGCAGAGCTGGAAAGCACAGTCATAAACACCAATGTAAACCAGGTAAAAGGCTGTCCATTACAAAACACACATCCTGTATTTCCAAACCAAGTCTTGAAATGCCACCACAGAAGGGAACACCCCACAGCCCAGAACTGTGGCCTGAATTGCTCGTGCCTGGGTTTCAGCAGAAGTGGCTGTCCCAGGGCTGCTGGGCTCTTGGTCCCAGTGAAGTCCATGTGATTTCCAGTTGCTTGGACTGGACAGGTACATTTGCTCACACTTACATTTTGGAGCAGCCAGGAAGAAAGCAGCAGCTTCTCTACATACACAGAGACTTTATTCAGCTGTCCAGAACAGACACAAACAAAGGGTAGCACCACCAATATGTGCAGAGAAACCCAGCACAAACAGATGACTGTGGCTGTGCTGGCCCCACAAAGAACAAAATTATGGAGCAGTCCCCTCTGTGTGAGCTGTCCTTGGAGCATGTGGCACTTATCAGACAGGTTAGGGTTTCACAACTGCCAGCCCCATCCTTGGTGGCCTGAAGATGAAGACTGGGTGTGGTACCTCTGGCATCAGGAACCGTGACACAGGGGTGATACCTCCAGCGCCCAACCCCACCACTCTGGTTGGTGCCCCCTGCTCACCCCACCTCCCTGAGCACCTTCTCTGCTGTCCCCTGACTCCTCTTTCCTCCTGTCCTGCAGAAAGACCCCAGCACGGCACTGGTCATTGCTGTGACCACCAGAGCCATCTTCAACCTGGAGGAGGAGCACAAGCTTTACCTGGAGAAGGGCAAGGAGGAGTACACAAGGCACCAGCAGGCCAACCAGGACAAGCCCCTGCCACCAGGCACAGCCTTTGCCTTCATCCAGGTGAGCCCCACACCTGGCATGGGGCACATGCAGACACTCACAGGATGGGATGAAAGCTCAGCTTTCCCAGCTTTAAGTCTCAGCTCCCATCACAGGGTGTATCTCTGGGCCTCACTGCAGGGCACTGAGACCTGTTCTCCTGACCAGTCCATCTCCCCCTAGCTTTTCCAGGATGGTTGCTCTGTCTGGCTCTCCATAACACGCCAGCCTTGCCACAGCTGACAGATGCAGCACAAACCACTAACCGTAACTGCAAAAGAACCCCTGCAAAGGTACTGCAGTCATGCCTCTTTAAAAGAGTCCCATCTCCTCCCAGGCAGTGCAGTATGTTAACAAGAAGATCCTGGAGAGCAGCCCAGCAGAGAGGGACCTCTTTGACATCCTGGTGCTCTCCAACAACAGCCCAGAGAGCGGCGTGCGCATCATCAACAGCGCCAAGCACTACGGTAAGGGGGACCCATCCCTGGCCAGGCCTGGTGCCCCTGGGAGGCTGCAGGGCCGATCAGGCACCACAGTGGATCATCAGGGGCAAACAGAGAGCCAGGGGATACAGGGGGAAGGGGTTCTCTTGGAGCCCAGCTCCCCTCAGCCATATCTTTCACACCAGGAAGTCGCAGCATTTTGCACAGCCTGGGGATGTTCAGGCAGGTACTGAAAATAAAAAAAGTTGTTTAAAAAAGCCACCCTAAATCCCAGAGTGCTGTCAGGAGGAATGCTCATTTAAGGAGGGGATGGAGGGAATATTTACCTGCACTCTGCAGTTTTATAGGAGCAACAACAGGTCAAGAAGATGCAGCAAGAACACAGGCAGGTTCCCCATACATCACTGGGAAATTCATTGCCCTGAGCTCTTGCAGAAGAGCACACTGAGACCCAGGGAGACCAGGGAGGGGCTGTGAGGAGGATGTTGATCTATAAGTCTTCACTCACACACATCCCTTGTCCTGAAGGGCTGGAGATCTCCAAGTTCTGCTTTGTCAGCGATGAGGACTCCACACAGTACCTGAAGTCCCACGGTGTGAAGCTGTTCCTCTCAGCTGACAGGACAGATGTCTGCAATGCCCTCCGGAGAGGTACGCTCTCCCCTCCATCCCACAGCCCCAAACCCACCACCCTTTTTCCAAGCAGCTCAGTACCAAGAGGCAGCACCAGAGGCTGTGATTTCACAGGGACCAGGGGTGAATGGCACATTGATTACCACTACAGTCCTGAACAGTTCAGTCTCCTTTTCTGTCCTTACCAGTAGCCTGCAAGCACACCAGGCTTGCTCAGATGCCCTCACAAGTCACCGAGTGCATTATGCATCATTTGAGCACAGCTCTGCCATGGGCTGTCATGCCCTGCCTGACATTTAAGCCTTTCTAACCAATTCCATTCATCAGTGAGAGTTTATCAGTGATTCCCAGGACTCTGTGAGGATGCCACAGAAATCTGCTGTCTTGGTACATGCAGAGTTTCTGTGTGCTCAGTAAGCATGTGTCTGACCTCAATCAGAGGAAGTGCAGTCTCCCCATCTCCTCTAATGGGGTTAATCACCTCCTTATTAATTCACTTGGGTATGAGCACATCAGCTGGCCACCGTCCTTCAAGGTCAGGAGCAAGCCATCTGCAGTCTGGACTTTCCTTCACCACACAGCACATTCCTGGAACCTCCTTGAGAGAATCATTGCCCTGACAAGTGTCTCCCATCTGGGAGCCTGGGTCCACATATGAGGGTGGGCAGGGAGCAGCTTGTAGGAAGAGACTGTAATTAAGCCAATTACCACAATCAATGGAGATGCCAGCCCATATTATTCACACCACAGTGTGCTAAATCTGGGCATTAAAGATTGAGGCTTGGCAGGGTGAGCAAGCACCAGGAGGAGGGCTGCTCATGCCTTGACAACCACCCACCATCTCTTACCACACTTCAGTATCTGCCCAGGCCTCGGTTTCTGATCAGCAGCACTTTCTCAGGGGATCACACAGCCATGCAAGGGCTGGGCTGACTGCCCCAGAAAGCTCCCTGACTTGGAGGCCCTGGCATGGTGATGTGGGTCAGGGCTGCAGCAGATGTGTCGGGAGCAGCTGGTCGTGCATGAGGTGCCCCAGGGAGGGGTGTCCCTCCTGACCCCAGCTTGCTCTGCCTCACAGGGGTCTCGGCGGCGCTCGTCTTCCAGCAAGAGGTGCAGGCCCCCAGCACTCCGCTCCGCGTGGCGTTTGACGGGGACGCCGTGCTCTTCTCGGATGAGACAGACCAGATCTTCCAGGAGCAGGGCCTGGAGGGGGCAGTGCAGTACGAGCGGGCCATGGAGGCCGTCCCCATAGGAGAGGTGAGTGTGCCCCCTCGCTTCCATGGGCACCCACAGGCTCTGCCGTCTCTCCTGCTAGGGCTTTGGCATGAATTGTCACAAAAGCAGAAATCCTTACAGAGTCCCTGTGCATCCACTATTCAGTCCCTGGTGTGGGCCTGATCTGGAGTCTCACTGGAAATGGATCTGTTATCTCCTGTAAATAAGCCCTAAATATCTAGGATTGTGGCTAATCCCAACATCACCTTTTGTAGGATGTGAGCTCTTGCTGTCCAAGTCCCTGCAGGATTCAGACCCAGGGGCACTGCTTGCTGGGATATACCTTGCTGGTCACTTTGGGATTAGGACGAGCACCACAAGGCTCACCTTCCTCCCAGGGACCACAGTGCACAGCCCCAGTCCCAGCATTGTCCAGCCCTGGAGCCCACAGGCATTGTGCGCTCTGCAGAGCCCTGAGAAAGCCTGAGTGGGAACAAGTGCCTTGTACAGGCAGAGTAGGTGTTTCCTTATTTCCCACACACTCCCAACCGTCTTGCTGTCCTTCCAGGGCCCCCTGAAGGCTTTTGCCATGCACCTCGGGAAGCTGCGTAAGAAGTTTGGCCAGGGAGAGTCCCCCATCCGCACCTACCTGGTGACAGCGCGCAGCGGCCGGGACATGGGCGTCCGAGCCATCAAAACGCTCCGGGAATGGGGACTGCCCATCGACGAGGCTTTCTTCATGGATGGGGCTCCCAAAGGCCCCATCCTCGCCCAGATCCAGCCTCACATTTTCTTTGATGATGGGCTTCATAACATCCAAGGGGCCCAGAATGTGGGGGTTCCCTCTGCCTGGGTGCCTTCCTGCTGCTGATGGGCTGCAGGCCAGCAGTTCTCCCTCCCAGCAACACAGGGGACTGGGTCAGTTGGAGGCAAAACTTCTGGTGGAGAAAGAAAGATCTCCTAACGTGCAGCAAGCAAATCTCAGGGAAAGGGAACGAGAGCATGGACTCCCATGCAAAGCTTGATGCATATTTCTGCTCCTCATAAGAGGCTCTTTACGTCTTAGGATAAAGCCAGAAGACACAACTGCTCCAGGATGGGAGGACACCTTTGCTGTGACACTGAGGACTACACCTACCTGCCATGTAGGACCTGGGGACTTTTCTCAAAGAAATTAGTGAAGCTAATGCCATACACACAAGATGAAAGGAGCAAGAAAAAAAAATGTTAGTTTTGGCTGTGCTTAGACTGTCCCCAAGATTGAGCAACACAGGCAGGACTGTTGAGCCGAGTCCAGAGGAGGCAGACCAAGATGACTGAAGGGATTGAGCACCTCTCCTGTGAGGAGAGGCTGAGAGAATTGGGATTGTTCAGCCTGGAAAAGAGAAGGCTTCAGGGTAACCTAACTGCGGCCTTCCAGGACCTGAAGGGAATGTACAGGAAAGATGGGGAGGGATTATTTACAAAAGCATGTAGTGACAGGACAAGAGGGAATGGCTTCAAGCTGAACAAAGGCAGGCTTAGATCAGATATTAGGAACAAATTCTTTTCTGTCAGGGTGATGAGGCACTGAAATAGGTTGCCCAGGGAAGTTGTAGATGCCCCATCTCTGGGAATGTCAAAAGTTAGGTTGGATGGAGCTCTGAGTAACCTGATCTAGTAAAAAGTGTCCCTGCTCACACCAGAGTGGCTGAAACAGGATGATCTTTAAGATCTCTTCCAACCCAAACCATTCTATTATTCTATGATTTATTCCCATCTGCCTAAAGAGAGCTCTCAAGACTGTGCCTCACTGGACACACTCATCTTGGTTTTCTGAGGAGACTGATGTGCTAGTGTGTGCTTCAGGCAGCTCCAGCCAAACTCAGAAGAGGGAGAAAGACTTCAAAACTGTAAAGGACCTACAAACCTTTTAGAAATTGGTGAATGGGTTGAAGAAAGAAAGCCCAAGCTATTCCTCCTCATAAAAGAGATTATAGCAGAAGACAGCTTTCCTTAGACACACATACTGCCCAGAGTGCTTTTAGGAGTCAGACCTGTGGGACACACAGCTCCTGGAGCTGCAAGACAGGGACAGGACGACAGCCCAGCACTGAGGTCCCACCAGGAGAGGGCACTGGAGAAGCCATGGAGGGCCTGGGCTGCAGACCGGCACTACGGGGGCTGGGGCAGGACCAGGAACTGTGGCCAACCTTAAATGGATCTCCAGAGCCAGGTGGGGGTCTCAGGAGCAACTGCTCCTTGCACATGGGGTACCTGGTGTGCTCGGTTCCCTGCCTGGCATCACACCACACCCCAAACAGGGATGCCTCTCCTCTGGCAGTTTGGACTCAATTCCTAATTTTCCTGGGGAACAAGGAGCCTGCGAGGTTCACCTGCAGGTTTCTTTCCCCAGGGCTGAATGCGAGTTGCCACTAGAGGCCACTGTGCTGCCTGGGGACATGGCGCCTCAAATCCCTGCCAGCTGTCCAGAAACGCCTTGTTAAAAAACACAAACTGGCTGCTCAGGCAACAGCGGGATTATGGACGAGGAGATTAAGATGATGCTGGTTTAGTTTTTTTAACCTCAGTGTAATCAGAAAATAATTATTTTAAAGGCTTCACAAGTGTTGCTCTCACTGAAGATTCCCCCCCTCCTCAAATAAATAAATAAACAAACATCCCAGTGTGAGTGCTCATTCCTCATGCCTGTGTCTAGCAGTGTGGGAGGAAGGGTGGGATAACTCAGTGCTGCTTTACATACGTTCATTTACTTATCAGGTGTTTGGCATGTTCATCCAGATGGCTTAAATACACAAGAAACCTACAGTGGGCTTTGGATTAGGTCCCTGAATGTCATCTTGTATCTGTCTCCACGCTCAGTCCTGCTGCCTTGAGCACAGGACTCTGCACTTGTTGCTTTAGCAAGGGCAGCTGCTGGCCCTGACATGCCACTGGCAGAGGTCCTGTCCCTGCCTTTATGGCCACCGTTTGGGTCCAAGCTCGGGGCAGGGAAGGGATACCCATGTGCACAGATTTGATAGGAAACCACCTCCAAAGAAGGGTGGCAGGGTCTTGGCGCCAGCCATCTGGCCCATGGCCCTCTTGCTCAGTGCAGATGCTGAAATTAGATGTTTCGAGGTAGCAACATCAACAACATCAGCCACTCATCATTCGCTAATAATGCTAAGCAGCCGTCAGCTGAACAAACATTAATTACAGGATGCTCCAAACATGCTCAGTAAGCAGGTGCAGATATTTGTCCCACTTTTGTGCAGGTCAGATACCACCGGGCTCAGTACCAGGATCCAAGCCCCCACTCCAGCCCTGCCTGCCACACACAGCCAGCTGCTTCCATGGCAGCTGCTGCTGGGGACACAGACCCGGTGCTGGAGGTGACCGTGGCCCTGGGCATCTTCTACCACCCTGACCCATCACATTTGCTGATGCCTGGATGGGGCCAGCAGGAGCTTGGTCACCGCCTTGGGCGAGAGGAAATTAGCTGAGTCAAGGGTGATGGGGACAGGCCCACGTGAGCCGCTGCAGTGTGTGGGATGCTAGGGCAGCAGGAAAGCACCACATGCCTTCTTCCAGCACTGTCAGCACAGTGGGGGATGACAGGGCAAAACGTGCCCAAAATAGGAAAAAAGGAAGGAAACTCGGGACTTGTGGGGTTGCATCATATAGGGCCAAGTACAGCTGTTTCAGGCCATAGTTCAGTCTTGTAGCATCAAAACTGCCATAATTGCCCTGCTCCAAGGATGTACCATCAAAAACACCCTCTGTCAAGGACTACTGCATCTTCATGCCCTGCTGCAAGGACAAACTTGCTGTTTCTGCCTTAGAGGCTGCTGTAATAAGTTCATTTATGCTTGGGATGCTCCTCAGGTTTTGGCGTTCTGAGGTGTCTTAAGCTCCCTCCTTTCAAGGGATTGCTGATGCTCCAAGGTCTTGCGCCGCTGCTGCAACCTGAAGAGGGTTTAGCTTCCGGGGCTGGTCATGGCATGCTCCTCTGATGCCCATCTCAGGTTTTGCTGGCCAGGGCAAGGCAGGAGCAGACCACACTGCCATGTCACCACCACAGACAGGCTCCCTTTGAACCCTGCTGGGTTTCATACCTTTCCACTCCAGGAAGAGAAGTGCACAGGGGGCTCTGAGGACCTGCACTTGATTCTGACTACTGCTTTCCAACAACCCTGCACAACCCCAGCCAAAGCTGCCTGGTATCTGGGTTCCCCTCTGAGACACCCTTGTGGTCCAGAAAAGGAAGTGGGCCCCTACTCTTCTCAGCCACAGGCAGGGCAGCTGCCTCCTCTGCAGGGCCCAGTTCTGCCAGCAATGCCAAACAAGTGGCCCTTGTTTCAGGGTGGGGCGCGTGACCCCAGCGATCAGAGGCTGCAGCTGGTTGGCCTTGAGGAGTTACAGGAGACCTTTGCCCAGGACCGTGCCCTTAATCCCTCCCTCACTGCACCAGTCAATTTAGGGTTGCAATGCTAAAAACAACTCAGTGCTAAGCAAGAGAAAGAGTTTTATGAAACAGTGGTACTGCAGGGAGGGAAGATTGGCGGGTATTTATCTGCTAATAGAGATCTGCAGTGGCAGTGTCCGAGCTGTTCAGCTTCATTGACTCCTGGCTGCAGAGGGAGAGGATGCTGGAGGCTGCAGGACCTGGGCGCAGCTGCAGTGTCTGCCAAGGATGCTCCCACACCTCCCTAACCTACAAGCACCTTTGATCATGAGCACTGAGCAAGGCATCTTTAGATTTTTGACCATAACCTTAACCCTAAGTCACCCTGGTGGCAGTGTACCTTGAGAAACACTCAGGAGTTCTCAGCCAGAGAGGCCAAGATGCCACGTCCCACGCTGCAAAAAATTATTAACAGGCTGTTGTGCATGTAGAAGGTCAGAGAGAGGGTGTGCAAAGCCACAGACTGTGTTTGCCAACGTGCTTAAAACTGGTTTCAAGATCTTAACCCCAGGCAGTCACACTTAAAATAGTGGCTGTGGTGGCAAGTAAAGATGGAACTTAGCAGAAAGGTGACAATAAATTAGAATTCAGACCCTTTGTGGAAATATTGACACAGGAGAAACTGCCCCAGGAGGTCCAGACTGACTTACCAAATCACCAGTGAGAGCTGGTTGCTCTCATTCCAAGAAAACACATTGCAACTTTTAAGCTGATTCTTGGCTTGCAAGGGGGTGTTGACCCTCATCTTTCTGACCTCACACTCCTCTCAGGATCAGAAGTGTCAATTGCTTCAGTGTTTTGCTATGTGGAAGAGACATGATTGTATAAATGATGGTCATCTTAGGACAGCTTCTGCTGGAAACCAAAGGAAATAATTAAATGACATCTAGTGCTGGCAAATGAAATTAAATGTGTGCTTGGAGGTGGCTGGAGGCACTCCTCTGCATCATGATGGAAGCCCCACCAGCATGCCAATATCCCCCGTCCCAAGTCAGGCTTACATGGGGGACAGAAGCAGGAATTGCCCAAGGTGGTGACAAGGTGAGTTGGGTCCCTGTGCTCCCCATCACATCCTGGCGTGGGTGGGGATGAATCAATACTATCATTGTCACTTATCAACCCATCCTGTCAGCCACAGGTCACGCTGCCTTGCTGCCAGGGTCTGCCAGGATTGTTGTTGCCCATCCCTCGCAATTTCAGCCTCCTGCAAAATAACTCAGGTGAGGCAAACAACATGAGATCCCTGCCCTGAGGAGCAGACAGGGCCTGCAGCCAGGGAGAGGCAGGTCTCCTCCTCCCCAAGGTGGGTGCCAGGTGTGTCACTAGCCGTGGGGGAGGATGGGCCAGGGGATGACGAAGAACATCCAATGCCGAGCAGGGTCAGGAGCGGGCAGGTGGTGTGGGGGTGGCAAGGATTTGGGCAGGGCCATGAAATGCGTGGGACACAGGGACAGGCAATGTCAAGCTTGGCAGCAGCCCACTGAGACAAGGTAATGTGTAAGTAAACTCTAGTGAAGACACCAGAGCAGCTCAGAATCTTAAAGAACAGTAAATATATTTCACTTATGAAACCCTTTCTAGGTTTTGTTTTTAAATAGCTAGGAAAAATATGGAAGAGCAAGATGTGATGAAAACACTCCATGTTTGAAGGCTGCTGCAAATGGCCCTGATGAGGATGGGGCCATGCTCAGGGCTCCTGCCTGTTATGACATCCAGTTGTGTCACACGGCCACCAGTGAGCCACCCTCACCTGCCAGCAGGATCACGGCTTGCAGCATGAGGGACACC